GTTAAAAGATATAAATAACTACAGACAAATGAAAAAATATATACCATGTTCTTGGATGGGGGGACTAAAAGTTATTACAAAGTTATTTCTTCTCTAGATTACTCTGATTGCAATAATACTTTAAGATCATATATATAAATTAGATGTGGTGGCACATACCTTTAATCCCAGAACTCAGGAAGCTGAAGCAGGCTGAACTTTGTTAGCTCTAGGCTAGCCTGATCTCCATAGTGAGTTCCAGGTCAGCCAGAGCTACCTAGTGATTCTGTCTCAAAATAACAACAAAAAAAATTGAACATATATTTAAATATATAATAAAGTTCCATATATAGTTAGGCAAATATTTAAGTAATGAGTAAACGGGAGGAGGGAGAGATGAGAAGAAAGGGGGCAGGACTCACTGTGTGGATACAAAGTTGCAATAATAACTCTATTATTATAGTAGGAAAGCAGATGAAAATGGCGTGGAGTCCCTGAAGACAGAGGACACCTCAGATGACTGCAGTCCAGCTGGTGAGGATTGTCATTGTTATAAGGCTCGACACTGTCGTGGTGCGACAGCCACAGGAAGAGCAGCGCAGGCGTGGCTAGGAGGTGTGTTCATTCAAAAAGCACGAGGAATTCCCGAGTGAGTGGATGGAGATGTCAGGGAAAGGGGAACGCTGGGCTGTGTGATTGAGGATGAGGCTGATGGGGATAGACTGAGCAGGGCCTTTGTTTGAACCTAACCTTACGAAAGTTAGGTTGTAGAGGCATCACAGAGATTGAATCTAGAGAGAAAGAGACCAGTCAGGCCGACTGATGAAACACCCACCATATCTACCGCAGTTCCCGGGCAGAGAATAAAGGGGAGAGAATGAACTAAGACGGCAAGAATTGGGGTACACAGAGGAAGATAGACAGAAGACAATAAAAACATTTCATCAGAATGACTTGGTGGTGGATGTGAGGGTGATCTGGCTTCAACCTCTGCCACCCCATTGACCACCAGGGTGGATTGGGCTGGGCTGGTTGGCTCCCCCCCCCCCCCCATCATGGCTCCACGTGTGTCCATCCCGAAGCCACAGCCTTCCCAGAAGACAAGAGGCTCCATCTTCAGTCTTCAGTTAACGGTATAGAGGTAGTTGTGCTAGAACCGCCAAACAAGCCCTCAAGAATGATTTGGTGGAGTTAACGTGGGTAGAAAAGGAGAAGGATTCAAGAAAACTCGGTTTCCTCCACTTTTTAGGAGTTAAATGACAGCAATGGACACCAAGATAGACCATTCCCAGAGCACTGTTTTGGACAGGTGTTAATCTAATTCTGGATGGACAATTTTTGTTGCTTCTGATCATGGTCTATGTGCCAAATGAAATGAAGTTCTTGACCTGAACTTGATTTGAGCCAAGAATATGGAATCAAGACTCTAGCCAGAGTTTAGGGAAGGTATGGATACTAACTGGGTGTGAGTATGGGGGTGACTTCCAGGTAATGAACCTATGGTCCAAAGGCAGAATCCAGTCCTGTTTTTGAGAGGTACAAGGAGTGCTGGGGGAAAATGAGAACCCCTTTCGGCAACTGTCAGATCACATCTGCTTCCTGTGGCATGGTTTCCTTACTGACTGACAATCAGAATACATAAATATATGTGACACATCAAACAGACAAACCTACTCGCACAGATCTGCCTAAATATTTAGACACAGCCAGGCAGTGACAAAAATTATTAGGCAATTGAAATTCTGATCACTAAAGGTGAACAGAGAAAGAGAGCAGATCTCATTCGGACCCAGCTCATCAGCCCCGTGGTGAGTCTGTCACTTCTAGAATGAGAAATGAGTCATTCAGCGCTTGTGGAAGATTCTGTCTGGTGGATGGTGTATATCTGTCAGCCTTCCCTTCCCCTTCGTGAGTTGTTCTCTTACATTGGACCATCATGAGGGTGAGTTGGGGGAGTGAGCGAAGTAAAGCGCAAAGGTGAAGTTAAGAGATTATCAAGCCTGATATTTAGCACTGGGCTGCAAAGTCCCAGAACCACTGGCTCCCTGCCTGTGAGAAACAGCATTTCTGAACCTATTCTTGTCTACAAAATATCAGTTCTGACCGACCTACCTCACAGTGAGCATGCAGAAGGAGACCCAGTGTGTCGGTGGGGTGTGAGCTGTGCTGTTGAGGGTTGCACACTTCCCCAGTGGTCCCTCGAGAAGTGTGGCTTGCAAGGGAGATGAAGGTCAGAGTTTCTCTGGGCAGGACTCTGGCTCCCAGTGTCTGTTGTAGTGATTGTCTTTGAATCTGGCATGCATACTGGCATTCCAGGGAGGCTTTGATTCTCTCTCTGCTGCCAACAATGTGCTTTAAAAATACTGACATGTATGAAAAATCCATGGGTAAAAATGAATTGTTGTCATTAAGACTCAATCCAGGGGCTAGAGAGATGGTTCAGCAGTTAAGAGCACTCGCTGCTCTTCCAGAAGACCTTAGTTTCAATTTCCAGCACCCATGTGGTGGCTCACAAACACCTATAGCCCTAGTTCCAGGAGATCTGATCCCCTCTTCTGGCCTCCCTGGCACATAAGTGGTACACAGACATGCACACAGACAAAATACCTATACATTTAATATTAAAAAAGAATTTTAAAGGAATAAGTTCATTGCCTTAGATGAATATTGGGTAGACATGAACATGTATCTGAGATGAGTTTGGGATTATCTGTGCATTGCAGATTGGAGGTATGCTTTCTTGACCTTATTAGAAGATGAGCTAATTGTACATGGATTTTCCCGACAGTAATTGTCACTTAGCTACTACTATTTGAAATGGCTTGCCTTCCTACAGTGTTCACAGACTTGGGTTGGTTACATCTGGGGACTGGGTGCTGAGTGAGGACTGCCCCCACCCTGCACCCCACCTGCTTTCATTATGATTCCCCATTCTGTAGCCCAGAAACTTGCTGAGAAGAGGCAAAGGCCCCAGCTGTTCCCCACCATAGAGACACCATTCAGGAGACCCAAGTGCCTCTCCACTGAGAGCTTCTATGGGAGAACTCAATTCCTCGTAAAGTTTCAACACATTATCTCACAGCATTCGACCAAGCCCCATCACAGAAGAGGGCATAAGGGGGTGAGAAGCAGAGCTGAAGGTTTCACTAATGACTTCGCTTTGGTGTGACTTAATAGGGTTCCCAGACGCTCAAGACCTGAGCAATCTGCCTCGATCATCTGCCATGTCACAGGAATAGGTCCGCAGAGGAAAACCTTCAGATCTGCTTTGAAAAAAAACAAAAGGCACATCAATCCTGATCAGGCATGGAGACCACGGGCTCTAGAGCTCATTGATTACCATTTGTGTATGAGAGTATCTTAAGTTACTCACCAGTCTCTCCCTTTCAGCAATTACACCCAACAAATGCCAGCCAGAAATGAAGAGAACGTTTCATCTAAGGAAACGCTCACATCTTTAATTATCTTGGCCTCTGTAGACTGCAGGGCTTTCAATCAGCCGCTCTCTAGGCAGACACTTTTGAGTCAACCACTTTTTTTTCCAAGGTCTGTTCCTCCCCCTCCTTGGGGATGCTTGTCTCTCCTCAAGTGTTGCTTTCTTTAATGCTACCATGCCGTCAAGCCAGGACACCCAGGAGGAAGCAATGTGGGCAAGAGAGCTGGAATAGTGAGTCTTGCTTTTTAATTGATTAAATTTGTCCATTGACCATTTCACGCATGTGCACAGAGCACTCTGTTTCTCTTACCAAACCCCCTTTTCTCTCTCTCCCTCCTCTCTCATCCCCTCCTCCTTGTGGTGATAGTTTGTGTACCCTAACAAAATTGGCCTGAAGATGAGAGAACAGAACAAGCCACTAGATTAAACATAGATGTCAGGCAGTGGTGGCACATGCCTTTAATCCTAGCACTTAGGAGGCAGAGATCCATCTGCATCTCTGTGAGTTCAAAGCCACCTTGGACTACATGAGATTGACTCAGTCTAGGAGAGAAAACAGAGCCAGGCAGTGGTGGCACACGCCTTTAATTCCAGCACTTGAGATTTCATGCCTTTGCTTGGGAAGCATACACACCTTTAATCCCAGCACTAAGAAGGAAGCAATGGCTGGGTGGAGAAAGGCATACAAGGCGCAAAGAGACAGGAACTAAAGGCTTTTTGGCTGGAGGAGCCTTTTTGGCTGAGGAAGCTCATTCAGCTAGAGGCCTATCGACTGAGGTTTTTCAGGCTGAGGAGTTGGTGAGGTAAGAGGTTGTGGCTGTGGCTTGTTCTTTTGTCTCTCCGATCTTTCAGAATTTATCCCAGTATTCTGGCTCTGGGTTTTTATTAAAAGACCTATTAGAAATTCATGCTACACCTCCTCCCTACAGGTCCGTTTCTCCCATCCATGCCTTTCTATTTCATTTTGTGACGCTGATATAACCAGACTGTGTGCGGCCATTGGGTCAGGACTATCTCCTGGAGCCTGCTGAGCTAACCACCGGGCACACAGCTGAAGGCAATGACTGTCCCTCCCGCCCCCATATTGCATCAGTTGCCAAGAGTTCATCGGGGAGTGGTAAGGACCCTGAGCCCTTCCTAAGGAGGAAGTGCAGGCCCAGAGAGAATGCCACACGTAGTCTCTCATGTGCGCACTCTGGCTTTCAGTCTTTACCTTCATGCGTTTGATTCAAAGCAGCTGTTGAAGCCAGACAACCAGAAAAAGAGGATTGAGGGGAATGTCTTTAGGGAGTGGGTCAGCAGAATATAGGTAACATGGAAGTAAAGAGGGAAATATGGGATGGAAAGTCTCAAGCAGGGATAGAGGGGAAGGACAAGAGAAACAGGGGGACAGGGACAGACGAAGCGCCAAGGGTGAAGAAAAGCCGTCTGGAGACCCATTGCTTCGGAATAGTGATTCTTCAAGTTGTATTCAAGATCTTGATAGACCCCAGACCCAGGGTACTACCTTCTCGAGGGGGCACCCCAAGAACCCAGACTCTGATCCAGTTGATGCAACAGCAAGAGGTGTTTATTGTTGCGGCTGTACAATCGGGCTAACTCAGCTCCAGAGAGCAAGAGTCGCATCTTACTGTAGCCACATGGGGGCTTTTAAAGGAAAAACCCACAAAAGCCATAAGATTACAATTCCCATACAATTTTGTTTTGATTGATGATCATGGTCTGATCACAGAGTGATCACAGAGTGGGTACAGTCACATCCGCGTGCATATTCTTCCCGAAACCTCAAGGGGGGTATCAGGGTGGGAGTGAAGTTTACACAAAGGTCACAGTGGTCCTTCCTGGAACACTTGCAACTATCCCAGTCACAGTTGAGTGCATCTCTTAACAGAGATCTTTTTACATTGTTACATTGTTGCAGCGGTGATTGAGTAATGATTGAGTCAGGTTGCCCTTGGAACTAGTTTTCTTTTTAGTTCCTTATTCTCCTGGGGCTTGGGGGGTGTAAGCCTGAAGGGTTAGGGTCTTTCAATCTCAGCAGCCTGCATAATCAGTGTCTTCTGAAGGTGCTGAAGGGAAATTCTGGAATCCTTCATCTGCCCTCTTCTGGAGTAGGAGATAGAGCCATGCAGGCACCTAGGAGAGCAAAGGGTCCCACCTCCCACTGCGTGTGTCACAGAGGGATGGAGTGAGGACAGTATCTGCTGGACGGTGGGACAGCAGAGCTGGGTCTCCACTGTCAGACCTCACAAACTTCCAGATCCTGGTAGGAGCTCAGGTTGCTGTCTCAGATAGTTAAAGAACACAGAAATTGCCATGTGATACCAAACATGCTCCAGCTAGCCTAGATATTCTCACGAAAACTCCAGAGATGTATTTAAGGGAGTGTACTGTCCTGAAGATACACAAACCCAATCACAGAGGGTAAAGTCTCCATAATTTGGAAGAGCCATTCTGTAGTGTGAGCTGAGGAGGAAATGTGGGCCTGGGAGGGGCGGTAAATTAATATCTGTGTCAAATCTATTTGTACATGGTCCTGTGACGGGTGCTTTCACAATGAGGACTTTTAAAGCTCTCGGCAACTATATGAATTAGTTATTATTACTTCCCATTTTCTAAATGAGAAAACTGGGAATTCACAAGGTCAGGCACTGTGCCCAAGGCCACACCACAAGTTAGAGGTGGAACTGAGCACGTTTTTTTGCTCTTGGCCATTGTGTTCAATTAACTAATTGCTGAGTTATCTTGGTTCTGCCTCTTAATCTTCAAATCGCTCTCTTCAAGGCTGCCTTATCTCCATGAGCCTAGGTCAGGCCTTCATCATTTTGTCTCAGCCACTGCAGTGACTACTGAACTCTCCTCCCTATCTACCCTCCCACTACCCTTACTCTCCTCCTCCTAACCTGTCCCTACCCCATCACACCATCCTCCACACTGGCCGTGTTTTGTACTTTCCACCTTATCAAGTTGTCTTGGCAAAAGTCCTTTTTCTTTTTGAGGTCTCAATTTTGAACATCACCTCCTCTGTGAAGCCTGTCCTGCCATCATGGGTGGTCCTCCTCATGTACAAGTCCTTAGCAGTAATTACATCACATCATAACTGGGTCTGGGTCTTTAAGAGTGTACTGTCACAGCAACTGAGATTTTTGCGAAGGGGAACCAAGTCTCCATTCATTCATTTATCTCTTGCACTTGTACTGTCTTGCTCATAGTAGGCAGTCAGTAAGAACTTGTCCTGAATGAATGAATGAATGAATAGATGGATGGATGAACAGATAAATGAATGAGTGAAAAATTAAAACATATAGAATTAAAGAAATGAATAAATAAAATGTTAAATAATAGTTATCTTTGATGCAAGAATGACTTTAAAGAAAGAATTCTGAATCATCACCAGAACGCTAGATTCTCTTGTAAACACAAAAGGAACAAGAAAAGTAATTACAGATTGTACATGCTATGTGAATTTTAAATTTGAAAGAGAAAGTAATACTATTACCTTGAACTTGCAAAAAGTACACACAGCTATGACAGGTCTTATTTTGTGACACTTTGTGGTTTTCAGAAGGTGCTTGTAGACTGTAGACCCCAACAAAAGGCAAGTGGGATAAGGTGGGGAAGGTGTTAGTGATCCTATTTTTCAGAAAAGAAAGTTAAGAGTCAGAACCTTCGGTGGTGGTGGTGGTGGTGGTGGTCGTCATTATTCCACCAGGGCCTCATGCAGCCTGGGAAGGCCTCAACCTCTTTATGCAGCTGACAGTGACCTTGAACTTCTGGTCCTCTTGCCTCTAACTACTAAGTACTGGGATTACAGGCATGTGCTACCAGGCCCAGTGTTATGTCATGCTGGGATTGAACCCAGGGCTTCATGCACGTCAGGAAGCCCTCTTCCAACCCAGCTACAGCCTCAGCCCAGAACCCAAGAACTCTGAGTGTAGGAATCTTTGCTCTCCCCTAGATGACCTCTGCAGAAAGCTTTATGTTTGCTTGCTTTTGGTTTTTGAGACAGGGTTTCCCTGTGTAGTCCTAGCTGTCCTAAAACTAACTCACTCTGTAGACCAGGCTGACCTCAAACTCAGAGATTCAACTGTCTCTGCCTCTCGAGTGCTGGGATTAAAGGTGTGTACCACCATGTCTGGCTTTGGCACCAGATTTTGACCTCTCCAGGGACAGTGCAAACACATGATTTTCTACTCTAGCTCTCACAGACTTCTCACCCTTCCTGATAACCAACAGTGGGATCCCAGGCATCTCAAGACAGAAGGCAGACCAGTTCAGTCAGAGTCAGGCATCCATACACTTGCACCTTTCTCAGTCCCCCTGGCAAACACTTTACAGTAGGACACAGCCCCTCATCCCCACCCCCTGCAGACTCACCTTTCTGTTGGCTGTGGCCAGAGAGGGTGGGTGGGGAGATCACAGAACAAGCAAGAAGTAGAACAAAACAGAGAGGTCTGAGTTCGATTTGCAGCTTTGCCTACTTTTCCATAGAAGTCTCCCAACGTTCCAAGTTACTTGTCAACACACCGTGAGTTACTAGAGTGCCTTTGTTGGAAATCTTTTGATGGTAGGCATAAGTGGTGGCTCTGTTATAGCATTTCCACGGTTTGTTTCTCCTGATGTCTTCTGCCCTACAGGGTACTGTTACAGGAAGTCTTGAAGCCAGGGAGTTTAACTCCTCCCACTTTGCTTTTTTCAGAATGTCTATAGAGGTCTATAATTTCTGCATATAAATATAAGTCTGTTTATGAATTTCTACAAAAGACCTGGGCTGGTGGTGGTTTTAATTAGAGTTACTCTGATCAGTATAGAAAGAACTGACAGCTTTACAATATTGAAACATGTAATCCATACATATGATGAATTTATCCACTTATTTGGGTCTTTTAAGTTTCCCTTGACAATGGTTTAGCATAGAGATTTTGCTACTCTTTTATTAGATTTACTCCTAATAATTATATTATGAAAAAATGCTGTGATAGGCTTAAATTTTTTTCTCCATTTTTTCTTCTACCTAAATAAGATTCACATTTCAGAGTTTCTACTTTCAAAAGCCCTTTGCGAAACCTTCTGAGGTAACCTAGTGGTTTTCTCATCATTATTTTATATTATTTTTCTTAAGAAAGGGTCCCATGTTGTAGACACTCTAGACCCCATAAAACTTAGACTCATTTTTGTCTGACTGTGGTGTTCATGGTCTCTTCCTCCAGAGTCTCAGGCTTCTTGTCTATAGACTTTGGAGAATGCCATCTGCCTCTGTGGCAGTTTGAATAAGAAGTGTCCCCATAGACTCAGGCATTTGAACACTTGCTCCTAACTGGTGATGCTGTTTGGGGAGGCTGTGGACCCTGTAGGTAGTAGAGCCTTGCTGGAGGAAGTACATCCATGCAGGTGGATTTGAAAGTACAAAGCTTTGCCTCACTTCCAGTTCACATGCTCTCGCTGAAAGGACCAAGCAGACGACATTAACAGGCTGTCAGTCTTCTCTCAGAGATCAGGCCTCAATTTCAGTTTCCTGAGACTTGACCAAGAAGTTTCTGAGAAGGCCTTGAACAAAAGACATAGTCCTTGCAGTAGCTCTCTTTCTGCACGTACTCTGACTGCTCAAGGTTCAGCCAGTTGTTTACTGTCCGGGACCCCTCCCCAACTTAGAGCTATGTGCATGAGTCAATGTGAATGTGCGAGGCCAGCCAGCTGCCGTGGCAGCTCAAGGACAAAGCCTGGGACTTGTCCAGGCCTGCCCCAAAATGATAACTGAACCCCCAACTAGTGAATTCAAAGGTTACACACCCTCACCCAATCATATGACACAAAGGCTTGTACCACCCTGCTTGTGGTTTTTTGCTTTAAAAATCCCTCACCCTGAGAGCTCAGGGCCATCCTCCTCCACCTGCTGTGCCGAGTGTTGGACATGGACCAAGCCCAGGCTTGCTTGTTATCAATAAATCCCTGTGAGTTTTGCATCAGATATGGGCTCTGTGGTGGTCTTGTTCAGCCGTCTCGAGACACGGGCACAACACTGCCTTATGTTTGTGGTTGAAGATGTCATCAGCCAACTCCATGCTCTGGCTACCATGCCTGCCTGCTGCCATGCCTGTCTCACCATTATACACTGCCTCTCAGTGCCTATGAGCCAAAATAAACTCTTTGGTTTGGTTATGGTATTTTTGTCATAGTCACAGAAAACAACCATGAATACACATCATTTGTTTTTATGGCTGAGTAGTATTCTGTTGCAATCAATCACGTTTTGTTTAGCTGTCTACCTTTGGCTACTATGAATAGCATTGCTGTGAATATGGGCATGTGTGTTTGTTGAGACACCTGCTTCTAGTTCTTTTCAGCATACACTCATGAATGAAACCGCAGAGTTGTCTGCTAAATTGCTGATTAATATCTTGAGGGAAACACCAAACTGGTGTCTTTCCTAGGAATATTTTGAGGATTCACTGAGCCAACGTACTTGCAAAGCTTTTGGCATGGTATCTGGCACATAGCAGGAATCCAATAAATCACTGCTAAAAGATGGGATTCCATACCACTTTATCAGTAGTACAGTGCATCTGTTGCAACATGCATCATATGTTGGAGGGGACAATTGGTTCTCATGCCTCAGTTTTTATATGGAGAGGTTTCTATTGGGATACTATCCGGCATCTCCTATCCTCTTGCTTTTTTTTCCTAAAAAAAAAAAAAAAAAAAAAAGTGTGACTTAGCATCTGGAAGATCAAATAAGACAAGCTCCTATCAGTCCATCACTCAGTTTCCCGGGGCTCTCCGTGGTTGTAGGGAGTAGTTACTCTTCTCCCTTGTACTGTATGTACCTATCCATGCCATTAAGTCATGTGTGTGTGAGAGCTCCCACACACGCAAGTATACATGCATATTTGTGTGTGCATGTGGAGGCAGAGGTCAGCCTCAGATGTCATTCCTTAGGCACTATCCATCTTATTTTTTGAGACAGAGTCTCTCACAGTCTTGGAGCTCCACAAGTAGCTTAGGATGCCTGGCTAAGAGCCGAATGATCCACCTGCCTCTGCCTCCCTGGTGCTGGGATTACAAGCATGTGCCTTCACACCCACCTTTTTTTTTTTTAAGGTGGGTTCTGGGCATCAAACTCATGTCCTCATGCTGATGTTATAAGTACTGTATCTATTGAACTATATCCCAGGTCTTATGCCATAAAGTTAGTGGTATATACACATCACAGAGGTCTGAGGCTGTTCAGCTTAGCTCAGGCTGGAAGTGCAAAATAGTGTCTAAAATTTCTCTCTCTCTCTCTCTCTCTCTCTCTCTCTCTCTCTCTCTCTCTCTCTCTCGTCCTTTGAGACAGGGTTTGATTCACCTGCCTCTGCCTCTGCCTCCCAAGTGCTGAGATTAAAGGCGGGCACCACCACCACCTGGCTTGAGCTACTTTCTTTTTTTTTTTTCATTATAAAAGAGATTTATTCTTGGAATGCCTACATGGCATGAATTCTCCCTTGTAGAGCAAGTTCTTTTCTTTTAATACATTTTTTTTATTAAGAGATTTTCTATTCATTTTACATACCAACCACAGATTCCCCTGTCCTCCTCCTTCTGCCCCCCAGCCTTCCCCCCAACCCACCCCCCATTCCCACCTCCTCCAAGGCAAGGTCTCCCATGGGGAGTCAGCAGAGCCTGGTACATTCAGTTGAGGCAGATCCAAGCCTCTCCTTCCTGCACCAAGGCTGCACAAAGTGTCTCACCATAGGCACTAGGTTCTAAAAAGCCAGCTCATGCTCTAGGGACAGGTCCCAATTCCACTGCCTGGGGGTCCCCTATGCAGTTCAAGCTAAACTGTCTCACTTATCCAGAGGGCCTAGTCCAGTACCATGGGGGCTCCTCAGCTATTGGTCTACAGTTCATGTGTTTCCACTAGTTTGGCTAGTTGTCTCTGTACTTTTTCCAGTCACAGTCTCCATATCCCTTGCTCATAGAATCCCTCCTCTCTCTCATCAATTGGACTCCTGGAGCTCCGCCTGGGACCCAGCCATGGATCTCTGCATCTGCTTCCATCAGTCACTGGATGAGCGTTCTATGATGACAGTTAGGGTATTCAGCCATCTGATCACCAGAGTAGGTCAGCTCAGGCACCCTCTCGACTATTGCCAGTAGTCTATGGTGGAGTCATCCTTGTGGATTCCTGGGAACCTCTCTAGCACTCTGTTTCTCCGTATTTCCATGGTGTCTTCATTTATCATGGTATCTCTTTCCTTGCTCTCCCACTCTGTTCCCGTTCCAACTTGAACCTCCCACTCCCCTAAGCTCTCATCCCCTGTCCTTGCCCTCCATTAACTCCCCTCACCCCCAGTTTGCTCATGTAGATCTCATCTAATTCTCCATCACTGGGTCATCCATGTGTCCTTCCTAGGGTCTTCCTTCCTAGCTAGCCTCCCTGGAGCTGTGGGTTGCAGTCTGGTTATCCTTTGCTTTGTATCTAGTATCCACTTATGAGTGAGTACATATCATGTTTGTCCTTCTGAGTCTGGGTTACCTCACTCAGGATGATATTTTCTAGTTCCGCCCATTTGCCTGCAAACCTCTTGAGCCCTTTCATTTAACACCCTTTTCATGAGTAGCAAAGATTGTGTTTGTGATTTATATCTGCCTGACCCCTATGTGTATTACACAATTGATTATCTCAATAGTAAGGAAAGGATGGGCAGTGTGTATTGTGACCACTCCTCCCCCTCCCCCTACAAATCACTGAATATATCTAGAAAAATCAGTAACTTGGCTTCTAATTCCCAAGTTCTCCTACTTCAAACCTAAGCAGTTTAGGAAACAAACTGCAACTTGAGATCACGTACAACGAGTAACTATTTACCTTGTTCTGAGTTTTTTCTTCTTTTGTTCTGGGGTGGGGGGGGGTGTGGCATTAAAACTGAATGGCTTTGGGTGGTTGTGGTGATGCTGCAGAAAACCTTGACGGCAAACGTGCCCTGCGAACGATTCTCCACCTCAGAGAGGCCTCACCTCGGGCTTCACCCGCACTCTGAAACGACCAACCTTGAGACGGCTTTTGTTTTCATTTCTACACCTCACAGAGCACAGCCTCGAATTCATTCTTTCTCTCCTGGGACGAGTGTGGAATCCATAAGTAGAGAAATGCCTTCTCTGGAATTCTGTTCGATAAGCACGCATTGGGCACCTGCTTATGTACCAGGCACATGACGGGGAGGGAAGACCAAGCTGGGCAACCTTCAGTTTCCTGTGCGTGGTGCTTTTAGTGTAGTGCAGATGAAGGATGAGACTCCTGTAAATAAACAGAAGGCAGATTTTAGCTGGTCTGGCTTTCAATGAGTTTCAGGCATTTGGTTTAGATGATTAAAATCTAATACATCTCACCAAAGGAAATTGGATTCAGAATTTTATTTCATTACTATTCCCATACTGGTTTTCCTCTCTTCTGTCAGCCCAAGCGTCTCTCTCCCTTTGGAAGATGGCATGTTTCTATAGTTGCAAGCACATGCAACTAGTTTATTAGTTTTCGTCATATTTATGAAGCCACAGTTTAAGCAGCTTCGTTATTTAGCTATTTTATGCCCGTTTTTCAGACAGAGAGCAGGCAACATCAGCCTAATGAATGAGCAATTAATGAAAAATAGAATTTCAGAATCAGATACAGAAAAAACATGTATTTTAATTTCAGCTTCGATGTATCCCTTGGAAATTCTTGCCCTCAGAATCAGTGGCCAGGATTCTGGATTGCACTATCTGAACTTCCTGTGGGTAGAGTAGAAGGAGTAGATGTGAGCCAGAGTCCTCGTCCAGGCACATCTAGATATGAATATCCCCTCGATGACAGGCAGAAAGAGCCAGCTGCAGGAAAATGACTGAGAGTGGGCTGGAAAGCCAGACTGCTCAGCCTTGAATGCTGGCTCTTCTTCCTACTGTGTGTCCTTGGGGAAACAAGGTCACCTGGTTCCCTCATCTGTAAAATGAGAATACATCCTCGGTGTGTTTCATAGGCTTGTTGTGCGGAGTGAGAGTGAATGAGCAGTTCCAGGGTGCAGTGGACTGGACTCTGGCATGTGGTAAGGACTCGGGCACATTTGTTGAAATATAGTCACGGAGGTAGAGCCCAGAAGAGGGATGAAAACAGCCCTCAAAGGGAACACAGAAGGAGGAACAAGGCGAAATGAGTCAAATAAAAACAGGCGCAAGATGAAGAGAATATCAGAAGACGGAACAGAACGTGAGGCCAGCGCATGGCTGGGAGGGAGGTGGTAACCTAGATACAGAGCATGGGAAGGACCAATCCCTGCCGCTTCCTGTTCTGTGACCTTGTGCAGCTCCCTTGATCCTCCTGTATTGCTCATTCCTCCCTGCCCAACAAACTCAAGGACCCAGAAAACAGTAGTTAAATACCTGCCTAACCACTGACCAGCTACCAAGTAACCTTGGACAATTTACACAGTCCCTGAGCCCCAGTCTCCACTATTCCATGAAGGTGCTAATAGTTCGTACCTTACTGATTACTATGGCACACATGTTTAACTTGAGAGTTCTGAGGATATCAGTTTGGGCTTATAGGACCTTCGAATTTACTTGCTATATTTTCACGTAGGTAAATGTCCTGGCCTAAACATTTTCTTCCTGCCTTTGTCCAGCTGAAATTTTGAAATTAACTGTGAATCTCAATCAACAGAGAGATTTCATAGTTTCTCTCTCTCTCTCCTTTCTGTGGGCTGACTTCTTAGTTAATTCTCTCCCTCTGGATAGCTGTAAAAGCAAAAACTCCTGCCAGGACAGCTCTTATCAAAATATTTTAGCACTTCTGCATCTGGTCCTGGCCATAAAATAGAAGTGAAGAAACACTTATGTAAAGCTTTCAGAGCTGTGAAGAAAAAGAGGGCTCTCATTTTATTGGCTGTGGTTCATATATCTCCAGGACAGCAAGGAAAAAAAAAAACTTAGAGATTTAAACCAAAAAGACACTCAGTGAAAGAAAAAGATAGGACGCGTGGCGTAGCAGCAGCAAGAGAAACATGAGAGGCAAAGAATGAGTGTTATTGGGTGAATGACATCACCCCTGGGCTGTTCAGCTCCCTGTACCAAGAAAAGCAATGGGTTGGGCCAATGGGAGGAGTCACTGATCCATATGCAAATCAGATCTCCACTGGATCCTCCCTACCCTGCTCAACTGCTATGCTGGCAACAGCATCTGCACCAGTGAGCCTCCAGTCCCAAACCTCTTCATTCAGTTTTATTCTATAGCCCAAGTTCCTCTCTCTCCCCGGAAGTCACGCCTATTCTCTCCTGCCTAGCTATTGGCCATTTAGCTCTTTATTAAACCAATCAGAAGGCACCTTAGGCAGAGACACATCTTCACAGTGTACAAATACCTCACAACACAAAACCAAGCAGCAAATGAATAAAAACAGCCTTCCTCATGATTGCATAGGAAAAAGATGGTTATCGTTTAATATTTACTGAATTCCTACCGTGGTCCAGGTACTGGACTGGCACCTGGGGAATACAGGTAAATAAGACTGAGGTCCTGCAGTGAAGTTCTCTGGGTAAGGGAGCAACAACTGTGATAGGAAGTTGCAAGGTCTAGGGGTGTGAAATACATAGCCTTGATTTCACAGATGGGGTGGGGTGTCTATTCTCCACAGGAGGTAAAAGAGACAAAAACTTTACCACGGCGTTTCTCATATCAGTTCATTCCTATAATCTTCAAGACATCTCGTATGATGGTTTTAAATCATATTATAAATTTGGAGGCTTTGGCTCAGTGAAATTAAGCAATTTGCTCCAAGTCACAAAAGACTCGCTCTAAATCCAGTCTAAAGCTTTTGCTATTTCTAGTCACCTTGTTATACTGACATTAGTCAGGATGACAGTGCATAGGATCCATAGAAAGCCCTGGGTGAAACCAAGGGCAAGGCCACCAGAGAGAAACAGTAACCGGGAAAACAGGGAGGGGGTAGGAGAGAGGCAGGGGAGTGGTGGACCGAAGCTGCCTTTCCAGAGATATTGTCAGCCGGTTGTTATATCCTGGGTAGTTTCACCAACCATGGTGGGGGTATTGACAGGAGAAAAGCTGGTAAATGTTCTGAATCAGGGTTTCCCCTAGAGAACCATTAAATCAGCACACACCGGAAGGCAAGGCCTAGGGAAACAGCTTGGGTGCTTCTTGAAGTACTTACTATGGTACATTTCTTTCCGAGGGGAATTGAGTTGGAGGGAGGCTAAAGTCTCAAGTCATGTGTATTCCCTGCACCGTGTGTCTGTAGTTTCACGGTTACAGACGTATGCTGTCTGGAAACCGGTGTGTAACTTTCATTGCCTTTTGCTTGCTGTCTTTTGTGTCCTGGGGAAGGCTGAGAGGTTAGAGTAACCAGAATAAACTCGAAAAAGTTAAGTGGATCAATCCAAAAGATATCCCCTATATCGCCCGTGCTTATTTTCAAAAGTGGCCAGTTTTTGAATGCTTATTTCTTTTACTCTTTGATGATTTCACACATATGTGTAATGTATTTTGATCATATTCAGCCTCCCACTGCCCTCTCTAATCCCCCTCTACTTCCTCTTGACACCTTCCCAACAAAGCCTGCTCCTGTTTTTACTTATCTGTTGGTTGGTTTTGTGTTGCTGGATATTTGTACACTATGAAGATGTGTCTCTGCCTAAGGTGCCTTCTGATTGGTTTAATAAAGAGCTGAATGGTCAATAGCTAGGCAGGAGAGAATAGGTGGGACTTCCGGGGAGAGAAAGGAACTTGGGAAGAATCTGAGGTGCAAGGGATTAAGCCACCGAGACACAGAGGAATTGACATACAGTATGATAACAGGCCACGTGGAAGAATGTAGATTAACATACATGGGTTAATTTTAGTTATAAGAGCTAGTTGTGAACAAACCTAAGCTAAGGCCAATCTTTCACGAAACAATAAATCTCTATGTCATTATTTGGGGGCTAAGTGGTCCAAAGAAAGTCTGATGAGAAAACTTGCTATAGTTTTGCTTTGCTTTTTTGTGACCCAGTTGATAAATACTGGATCCCGAGTTATTGGGTATCCTCTGCTGATGCAATAAGCCAAATCTAGCCGAATTAAAAAGACCAGGTTTAATAAACAGAGCAAAGCAACTCCCAGGTGACTCTCGGAAAGGCAGGATAGAAAGTCACATGGCAGGTCTGACGATCAGGTTTTAAATACCCTGTAGTCGTGGTCTTGAGCAGCCCCAGGGAGAGTCTGACTCTTGGCAGGCTTTCTGAGGGGTGGTGTGTGAAGAGGGCAGCTCCAGGGGAGATCCCCAACACCACCGAGCTTAGAGTTGCTTAGATGGGAGGTTATTTACAGGTGCATGGGTAACATCAGTGGTTACACCACAGAAAAAAAATGAACTTCCCTTCCCCAGCAGCCATTAACTGCAAGATTTGTGTTACATACAGGAGCTGTAAATGAGATGCCCAGGTTACCTGGGAAAGGAACACAATGATTTGACATAAGGATTGTTATCTTTCGAAGTTGATTTCTTTCACATGAAGTCCGGAGTCTTTGTAAAGGCCTGGGCAGTCTGGCTTCAGGCACCTGTGTCTCCAGCCTCTTCCGCTCTAACACCCTCTTCATTCCCTCCAGCCACCCCTGTTCTTCCTGTTGGCAGATGGAGCCGTTCACCCTGTCTCTCCGCTTTCAACTGCTGCCCTCTCTGCCACAATGATCAGTCCCTAGACATTCCCACCACTGGCTTCTTCTCATAAGTCATCTCAAATGTCACCTTTCAGAAAGACAACCCTACATCCTTCATGTGAACTGGCACTTTTCCTATGGCTTCAGCTGTGCTTTCTGATTGTCTCGTTCCCTTGTTAGTCTCTGTCTCTGTCTCTGTCTCTCCCTCTCTCCTAAAAGATAAGCTCAATCAGAGCAGGAACCATGTCCGCCTTACTCACAGATGTGTCCCCATTTCTGAGTAGACTGCCTCACACATTTGGTGTGTATTTATGCTATTGGAGAGATTCAGGCTTTATGTAATATTAATTCAATATCCTTGATATGTCCCTCCATCTTCTATCATTTCTGCTGTTTCAAGCTGCTCCAAAGTAAATAATTACCTTCTGGACAAATCTAATACTATTTGGTTCATCTTGTCTTGGTATTTATGTTGTGCTATGAACTACCGGCCAACTGCTCACTCCATTCCCCTTTTTCTAACATAAAGGTCAACAATTGCAGAAGCTTTCCCTTCCCCTCCCTTCCTCCTCTGCTCTTCTTCCCCCCCCCCCCCATTTGCCTGTCCTAGCT